CGGGGGTATGGCAGAGGGGACCGCGCAGGGAGGACGCCGCAGAGCCAGAGCAGGCTGCCCCGGGCACGCTGTCCCCAGACAACCGGTGGTCAGCTGCGGCGAGCACCCCCACCTCGAGCTGCCCTCCCGCGGCGCCGGGCTCACCTGACAGGTACGCGAAACGCTTCTTCAGCTGGTCCTGGATGTCGGCCGCGCACAGCGGGGTCACGTCCTGGTGCATGATTTCATCTGCGGGGTGCAGATGGGGTCACCGCGGGCCGCGGGGGCAGAGTTCCGAGGTGCAGCCCCCCACGGGGAGTCTGTGCAGAGGCCGGCGGGGGGCGGCGGCGGCGGCCCGTGAGGGCCAGGGTCCGGCGCCCCGTGTCCCACCAGCGCCTCCGCCCCTGCCGCGGGGCTGACTGTGGGGGAGGCGCCCCACTACCCAGACCCCCGACAGCGCGGTCGGCCTGTGTCCTGGAGCAGCCCCTACCAGGCGCCCCCCCCCCGCTGGCCTGCTCCCCCCAGGCACCGCCCTGCGGCCCTGAGCCCTGACAGTGCATGGCTCCACTCTGGGGCTCCCCGCCTGGGCTCCCCGTCCACTCTGAGGCTCACTGCCAGGGGCTCCCCACTCTGGGGCGTGGCCACTGGTGGCCACTGCAGAAAGCCAGCCATACCCCAAACGCCAGCCTCCTCCAACCCCGGGTGGGGGGTGTGGCCAGGCCTCGCTCTGGGCCACAGCTGGACACATGAGGGACCACGTCGCCGGGGAGCCCCAGGGGCACCCACCGCACCAGGCCGCAGCGCTGCCTCCAGCTGCGGCCCCGCTGGGCGTGGGCAGCAAGGCCACAGCCGGGCCGGCCTGGGGCTGGGGCAGACACGGGGGCCGGCCGGGGAGGACTCAGGGGTGCAGCATCCTCTCGGAGGCTCCCCCGCACCGCCCAGGTCAGCTGCCTGGCCCTTCCCCGCCCCTGGGCGCCTGCCAGACCCGCAAGCAGGCTCGGGCCTCGAAGCCGGTGGCCCTGCCCACCAGCCGGTCAGCGCCCACCCCAGCCCCGCACGCAGGCGGTGTGGCTGGGGCCCCGGGGAGCTCGTTAACGGCAGCCTTGCTCCTGGGCGCAGCTGAGGCTCTAACAAGCTCCCAGGGGCCACCCCAGGGCCAGCGGAGCGGGGAGTCGGGGCGGGCCACAGCCTGCGACCAGCCCCAGGGGACCCCCCACCCCCCTGCTGAAGGGCTCCCGGGCTGGCCGGCCGTGGGGAGCAGGCTGCAGGCGCCCCGCCCAGGTGCGCGCTTCCCGGCCAGCAGCAGGCTCACCCCAGCCCGTCGGTGGGGAGCCCCTGCCCCCCAGACCAGGCCTCACGCGGGTCAAGGCCCCGCCAGGCCCTCCCGAGAGGCCGGGCCAGGCCGGGCATCTGCCTGTCCGCTGAGCCATGTCCTTAGGGACCCCCCGCCCCAGGACGCCCCGACGGAGAGCAGCCCGGCGCTGGG